GCCGTGATGGTCAAGCAGATTAAGGCGCCCTGTAGTTACCAGTTGCGTTGCTCCTGGGAGTATGGGTTCGAGTCACTTCTGGGGTGTGAGTTTTCAATCGCATATAGTCCTGGGGACCATTCAGGCTTGTTCGCATTTGTGTTCCTCACGTGTGCCCCAAAGAATGAGGTGATTTGGTGAAATGCTATGTCCAAGATTACCATCCGAGTTGCCGGCGGGGAAGTGGTTCAAATAGCCTTGGCTATCATTTCCTTTGTCCGGCCGTGATGGTCAAGTGGATTAAGGCGCCCTGTAGTTACCAGTTGCGTTGCTCCTGGGAGTATGGGTTCGAGTCACTTCTGGGGTGTGAGTTTTCAGTCGCATATAGTCCTGGGACCATTCAGGCTTGTTCGCATATATATATATATATATATATATATATATATATATATATATATATATATATATATATAACTGAAAACTCACACCCCAGAAGTGACTCGAACCCATACTCCCAGAAGCAACGCAACTGGTATGTACAAGACGCCTTAATCCACTTGACCATCACGACCGGACAAAATGAGGTGATAGCCGAGGCTATATGAACCACCCCACCGCCGGCACTCGGATAGTTATCTTGGGCATAGCATTTTACCAAATCACCTCATTCTTTGGGGCACACGTGAGGAACACAAATGCGAACAAGCCTGAATGGTCCCCAGGACATATGCAACTGAAAACTCACACCCCAGAAGTGACTCGAACCCATACTCCCAGAAGCAACGCAACTGGTATGTACAAGACGCCTTAATCCACTTGACCATCACGACCGGACAAAATGAGGTGATAGCCGAGGCTATATGAACCACCCCACCGCCGGCACTCGGATAGTTATCTTGGGCATAGCATTTTACCAAATCACCTCATTCTTTGGGGCACACGTGAGGAACACAAATGCGAACAAGCCTGAATGGTCCCCAGGACATATGCAACTGAAAACTCACACCCCAGAAGTGACTCGAACCCATACTCCCAGAAGCAACGCAACTGGTATGTACAAGACGCCTTAATCCACTTGACCATCACGACCGGACAAAATGAGGTGATAGCCGAGACTATATGAACCACATTTGGTAAAATGCTATGCCCAAGATAACTATCCGAGTGCCGGCGGTGGGGTGGTTCATATAGCCTCGGCTATCACCTCATTTTGTCCGGTCGTGATGGTCAAGTGGATTAAGGCGTCTTGTACATACCAGTTGCGTTGCTTCTGGGAGTATGGGTTCGAGTCACTTCTGGGGTGTGAGTTTTCAGTTGCATATGTCCTGGGGACCATTCAGGCTTGTTCGCATTTGTGTTCCTCACGTGTGCCCCAAAGAATGAGGTGATTTGGTAAAATGCTATGCCCAAGATAACTATCCGAGTGCCGGCGGTGGGGTGGTTCATATAGCCTCGGCTATCACCTCATTTTGTCCGGTCGTGATGGTCAAGTGGATTAAGGCGTCTTGTACATACCAGTTGCGTTGCTTCTGGGAGTATGGGTTCGAGTCACTTCTGGGGTGTGAGTTTTCAGTTGCATATGTCCTGGGGACCATTCAGGCTTGTTCGCATTTGTGTTCCTCACGTGTGCCCCAAAGAATGAGGTGATTTGGTAAAATGCTATGCCCAAGATAACTATCCGAGTGCCGGCGGTGGGGTGGTTCATATAGCCTCGGCTATCACCTCATTTTGTCCGGTCGTGATGGTCAAGTGGATTAAGGCGTCTTGTACATACCAGTTGCGTTGCTTCTGGGAGTATGGGTTCGAGTCACTTCTGGGGTGTGAGTTTTCAGTTGCATATGTCCTGGGGACCATTCAGGCTTGTTCGCATTTGTGTTCCTCACGTGTGCCCCAAAGAATGAGGTGATTTGGTAAAATGCTATGCCCAAGATAACTATCCGAGTGCCGGCGGTGGGGTGGTTCATATAGCCTCGGCTATCACCTCATTTTGTCCGGTCGTGATGGTCAAGTGGATTAAGGCGTCTTGTACATACCAGTTGCGTTGCTTCTGGGAGTATGGGTTCGAGTCACTTCTGGGGTGTGAGTTTTCAGTTGCATATGTCCTGGGGACCATTCAGGCTTGTTCGCATATATATATATATATATATATTCATATATATATATATATATATATATATATATATATATATATATATATGTATATATATATATATATATATATATATATATATATATATATATATATATATATATATATATATATATATATATATATATATATATATATATATATATATATATATATATATATATATATATATATAAAACACACACACACATGTATGTGCTGACGAGAGGAAAGAACATTATACACGTGATAGTTTCATGACCATTTAAATGGACCAGCTGATAGAGTTGACAGATGCGACTTGCTAGGCTGTTGCCATCGTTTACCAGTGCAGTGGATATTATCACCTGTGGACCAGTGTATACTTTATTATGTAAACCCATTTTTTTTACCTGTGTATATGTTATCTCCTCCATTCTCTGGTAGATCTAGTATAGCAATTGATTGACACACACCTCTATACCTATCTCGGAATCTTAAACTATAAACCATTGAAATACCACTGAGTTACTTTTTGATGGATTGTGATTATCTGATGACCCAGCTGAGGGGATCGAACTCACCTCACTCTCCACGGGTGCACGGCCGTGTTGTAGGGAGAAACTCCAGCCCGCATTTTTATGAACAGTGGCACCCAGGTGCAGTGGGAGCGAAGACCTGCCTCAACTCTGGATAATGTACCTGTGAAAAGGTGACTACAACTTTATTAACAATTTGTTGAGACAACAAATAACACTCTGGGTAATGAAAAACTCAATATGTTACAATTATGCATTTTAATGCAATATGTATACATGACAACTCTTTTTTTTTGAGATATATACAAGAGTTGTTACATTCTTGTACAGCCACTAGTACGCGTAGCGTTTCGGGCAGGTCCCTGGAATACGATCCACGCCGTGAAGAATCGTTGAACAGTGACTCTGCTGCAGTTGTCATGTATACAGATACCTGCTGCAGATGCTGACATAAACAGTTTGTTATTCCACATGCTGGTATATGATACCAAGTGTGCATGCTAAGAGATAACAGTGATAGTGAGATGGTGACATAGCTGTGGTAATGAGGTCATGGTGATATAGCAGTGATAGTGAGGTCATGGTGACAGCAGTGATATTGAATGAAGTAAGGGAGATATATAGTAATAGTGATATTGCAATCACAGTGAGGTGATTGTTATATAACAGTGATGGTGATAGAACAGTGATAGTAAGGTGATGGTGATGTCAGTGACAGTGAGATGATAGTGATACAGCAGTGGTAGTGAAGAAATAGTGACAGCAGTGATGATGAGGTGATTGTGATATAGCAGTGATGGTGATAAAGCAGTGATTGTGACATAGCAGTGATGGTGATAAAGCAGTGATTGTGACATAGCAGTGATGGTGATAAAGCAGTGATAGTAATATAACAATGATTGTGATGGGTGGTGTTACAGTGAACTAGAGTGTCAGCACAACACCGCAGTAGTGATGGTGATGGTACAGTGAACTAGAGTGGCAGCACAACACCACAGTAGTGATGGTGATGGTACAGAGAACTAGAGTGGCAGCACAACACCACAGTAGTGATGGTGATGGTACAGTGAACTAGAGTGGCAGCACAACACCACAGTAGTGATGGTGATGGTACAGTGAACTTGAGTGGCTGCACAACACCACAGTAGTGATGGTGATGGTACAGTGAACTTGAGTGGCTGTACAACACCACAGTAGTGATGGTGATGGTACAGTGAACTAGAGTGGCAGCACAACACCACAGTAGTGATGGTGATGGTACAGTGAACTTGAGTGGCTGCACAACACCACAGTAGTGATGGTGATGGTACAGTGAACTTGAGTGGCTGCACAACACCACAGTAGTGATGGTGATGGTACAGTGAACTTGAGTGGCTGCACAACACCACAGTAGTGATGGTGATGGTACAGTGAACTTGAGTGGCTGCACAACACCACAGTAGTGATGGTGATGGTACAGTGAACTTGAGTGGCTGCACAACACCACAGTAGTGATGGCGATGGTACAGTGAACTAGAGTGGCAGCACAACACCACAGTAGTGATGGTGATGGTACAGTGAACTTGAGTGGCTGCACAACACCACAGTAGTGATGGTGATGGTACAGTGAACTTGAGTGGCTGCACAACTCCACAGTAGTGATTGTGATGGTACAGTGAACTAGAGTGGCAGCACAACACCACAGTAGTGATGGTGATGGTACAGTGAACTAGCGTGGCAGCACAACACCACAGTAGTGATGGTGATGGTACAGTGAACTTGAGTGGCAGCACAACACCACAGTAGTGATGGTGGTGGTACAGTGAACTAGAGTGGCAGCACAACACCACAGTAGTGATGGTGGTGGTACAGTGAACTAGAGTGGCAGCACAACACCACAGTAGTGATGGTGATGGTACAGTGAACTAGAGTGGCAGCACAACACCGCAGTAGTGATGGTGATGGTACAGTGAACTTGAGTGGCAGCACAACACCACAGTAGTGATGGTGATGGTACAGTGAACTAGAGTGGCAGCACAACACCACAGTAGTGATGGTGATGGTACAGTGAACTTGAGTGGCTGCACAACACCACAGTAGTGATGGTGATGGTACAGTGAACTAGAGTGGCAGCACAACACCACAGTAGTGATGGTGATGGTACAATGAACTTGAGTGGCAGCACAACACCACAGTAGTGATGGTGATGGTACAGTGAACTAGAGTGGCAGCACAACACCACAGTAGTGATGGTGATGGTACAGTGAACTTGAGTGGCAGCACAACACCACAGTAGTGATGGTGATGGTACAGTGAACTTGAGTGGCTGCACAACACCACAGTAGTGATGGTGATGGTACAGTGAACTTGAGTGGCAGCACAACACCACAGTAGTGATGGTGATGGTACAGTGAACTAGAGTGGCAGCACAACACCACAGTCCATCACAAACACCTCCCTGATGTCACTGTGGTTGACTGCTGCCCTCAACACCTCTAGGCCACTCACCACATCACCGAAGACACGTGACCACTCATCACCATCCTGACAGTCCCTGGTGAGGATGGAAAATCGAGCAGTCGGCAACAACCCACACCACACAGCTCCAGCCCGGCCTGACTCCCGGTACTGACCCTCCAGGTGAGGCAGCAGTGGGGCTCCTCCTCGACCATCATTACTCTCGTAGTCTCCGCCCCACACCCATTCTCCCGGCCGACCCTTGGCCACCACTCGCAACAGTTTTGTGTTGAGGTAGGTGTGGCCCCGCTGGCCCGTACACAACAACACAAACTGTCTGGCCAGCGGAGTGTCAGGGGTGAGCCGGATAGTGACCCGCCCTCTTTTTGACCCCGCCCACCAGAGGTCAAGGAACGCCAGGGTGCAGGAGGGGTCAAGTACGCCCACAACCTCACTTTCCTGCAGAAAATATAATAAATCTTGCTGATAATTGTACAGTAAAATGGTATATGTTTTCAAAACTCAGGCCGTAATGTCAGTAAGACTAGAGGGAGTAGTAAAGTTACCTGGAGAGTGTAGGAGTGGGCGGGTGTGGGCTGACGCAGTAGTGGGTGGAGGTACAGCTGTCCGTCTTCTAAGGTTATTCTGGCGGAGCGGCGGCCATCTTGGTCTTGCTGGACGGCCATCACCCGGCCAGCATCCACCAGCCTCTTGACGGGCTCGTTCATCCTGCGGAGGTCCTCAACCTGTGGAGAGTGTCAGAGCCATTATCACCTGTGGACAGTGTCAGCCTCATTTTTACCTATGGACAGTTTGGGGAAATCTACTGGTGATTGATTTAATTATAAGAGATTATATATATATATATATATTACTTTTGAGTGGACTGTATTTTATAATTTATTATCACCAATAAATGTCCCTTCACATATTTTGGGGGAGGTTTCATATTTTAAACTATCACACCATACGGAATGTTTGATATAGTTTATCTTCTGAATAGTTAGTAGTACGGCTTCAATGATACCTGGTTGATGGGGTTCTGGGAGTTCTTCTACTCCCCAAGCCCGGCCCAAGGCCAGACTTGACTTGTGAGCGTTTGGTCCACCAGGCTGTTGCTTGGAGCGGCCCGCAGGCCCACATACCCACCACAGCCCGGTTGGTCCGGCACTCCTTGAAGGAAACAATCTAGTTTCCTCTTGATGTCCACGGTTGTTCCTGTAATATTTCTGATGCTCGCTGGTAGGACGTTGAACAACCGTGGGCCTCTAATGTTCATACAATGGGTTAATGAGTATTTATGACTCGTATGTTGGCCTCAGTAAGATTATGACACATGTGTTTAACAACTTCTGCTCTATTGAATCAAAGTTGAACTCATATTGGGTTTGTAACTGTGCACTGTGTTAGATAATGTCCCATTGGTCTGTCAGGCATTTCTCCACAACACTGACATTTCTTCTCATCTACTGGAAGCAGTAAGTCTATTTCCCATGCACATGGGTATCCAAGCCTGATGCAATTTAGGTGTACTTTTGTTGCTCTACTGCTCCCTTTCATCGAAATAAGTGGTTCAGAGTTGGTTAAATTCGTGTACCAACCCACAGATCCAGATCCAACCCAACTGCTGTGTTGTGGGCAGATCTTTTGCATTGCTTTATTTCTAATTTCTTGCTTAATCTGTGATAGACTCTGTGGTATGTAAATGTCTACATTTCTTCTCTTAGTTGCAAGTTTTGCAGCTTCGTCTACAATGTCATTTCCTATTATTCCCACATGACTTGGCACCCAATTGATAGGTACTCAATAGCCTTGACGCTTAAGTGTTTGCATTAATGCTATGACCTTTGTGTTCAGATAGATGTTGTCACATATGTGTTCTAGTTGCAAGGGTTCAATTACAGCTCTTGAATCTGCATGTATGATAACATGTTGTCGGTGTTCAGCAAGAGCATGTGTTATGGCCACTTTGGGCCAGTAACCGGGATCTTGTGGTTAATGCATTTTATAACCTCTTCGTCTTTATCCAACCCAAGTCGGTGGTAAGTTTCAAGAACTGGCTGTGGCAAGAAGTAGTGCAAAGAATAAAGGGGGTGGGGACAAACAATGCACAATTACACCTTCATCAATATATTAACACCTTCACCGCTATATATATATTATATTATATTAAAGTATTACCACACATGTTTACAAAGTGTCGTTTTCACTCAGGACACAATACATTGGCAGCGTTCATTAAATCCCTGTGAATCCTCTTCCAGGTACACGTCGTCCAAACTTAATGGCAAACACAGGCGAGTTCTCCTTCTTCAACATGGGCCAGCTTACACACACACAGTATCATCGCAATGTGCCAATACCTCACCTCCACTCTCCAGATACCCACTGACAGATGGTTTCAGCCACATGCTGACAGGGGTCTCAAATAATCACAGACAGGGGTAGCTAGCACCCTGGCAGAAGTCTCTAGTCACTCACTAAAAGTGCTTCTCAACAGATGCACCACTGTCGACTCGTAACTCTTCTTGGCCAATCCCGGGTACGTTGGCCCATACAATACAGCATAAATCAGAAGCTAACACACTGCTATAACCGATGTCGGTCACTTTGCTTTCTCACAGGACCAAGTCAAGAGTTACTGGACTGCCCAAAGTGAATTGTGCTCCTCAGCACAATCGCCTCCTTACGTCACCTCTGTGAACATAAAACGTCATTGACTAGACAGTATACCGGGTGACTGTAGGATAACACCCATGCACCGGGTAATTGAAATTATAACTTGTAGCCACAACCAAGATGGCGTTAATATCATTACACCACCTACCAGAAGTTATCATCATCGACCTCACATTCTGACTGAAGCAGGAAACCGGAGCCATACTCCAGACTCCGGCAACGGTGTCGATACTGTAACAGCATGTTCCAAAGCCTTTAGAATGGCTAGCATCTCTGTTTGTAAAGCTGAACACCCTTTTGAGAGTCTCCAACTAACTACAGAATTTCCTGCCTTAACTGTAGCCCCGGTTTCTTATCCCTTTTGGTCTACTGATCCATCTGTGAAGGATGTGAAGCTGTCAGATGCCAAGTTTGCTTCTATATTCATTTGTGGAACATTACATAGCAGATGAAGATTAGTCTGGATCTTTTTGCCTAAAAGAGCCATAATCTTAAAGTCTGCTAGTAGCTATTACCAAGGGGCTTCCATAACGAAGTCTGCATGCATTTCGTCGACACCCCTCTCAGTGACTGTCTATGTGATATCGAAAGGATTGATAGTGTTAATTGCACAAAGGGTGCACCTGTTGCTATTGGACATTATTCTGTCCTGATTTAGTGTTTCAGTGATTATATCTTTAAGTGAACTGATTCTTGGTATAGTCAATATCGTAGTCAGAATGCATGCAACAATCCCTTTTACCCTTATTTCAATCGATGATAGCTTAGCTTCTAGATATAGGTTCCGTATTTTAGTCCATCTGGGAGCTCCTGTTATGACTCGTATTGCATCATTTTGAATAACCTCAATGTTTTGCCCATTGGCCAGGAGAAAGAGTGAGTTAGGCGAGCGCTGCATAATCAACTAGAGAACGAACAGTGTGTACATAAAACATTTTTAACACTTTGTGTTCAGCTCCTAGACCAGGCCCCTGTGATTGTTCGCATTATATTTAGTCGTGATTTTGCTTTCTCCTTCAGATTGAATTTACTTGTTGAATGTCATTTAGAATCTATCCACACTCCGAGATATTGATATTGTGAAACCCACTGAAGGTTAATGTCTTGAATGCGTAGGTGCCTGTCTGGAGTGTTGCCACCTAGTCTTGTTGCCTTAGACTTCTGTACAGATATTTTTAGCCATAAAAGGCTTCATTCAGATATTACTTTATCTAACACTCCTTGTGCTTTATTTAAAAGTGAAGGACCTGTGACGACTAATGCTACATCATCAGCATAGCTTAGCAATTGAACCTATTCTGCAAATGTCATGGTAAGGAGGTCTTCCATAAGGAAGTTAAAAAGATTGGGACTGAGTACTCCTCCTTGTGGAGTCCCATTCTCATGTAATTGGTAGTCCGACACTTGTCCTTGCAGCTTTACTCTGGCATACCTGTGACTAAGGTAATCTTGAATCCATGCTAGCATATTTCCCTTTACACCTTTTTCAACTAAGGTGTGTAAAATTGTTTGCAGGCTAATTTGAGTGCTTTTTGTAGATCAAGGAAGATAACTATAGCCAGAACGGGCTTAACTGTTCCTAGTAATGTTACTATGCAGTTGGCAGTACCTACTCTTCTAGTGAAGCCAAATATGTGTTTATGCAGGTCTCCAGTCTTCCACAGTAGCCTATTTAAGACTATCCGTTCTGCAGTTTTACTAATGCATAATGTTAATGAAATGGACCAGTAATTGCCAGGTTCTTTCGGCTTCGGAATCGGAATGATGTTTGCTTTCTTCCAAAAGTCGGTAGTTTGCCTTGCTACCAATAAGCATTGACAACGTCCAATATCCCTTGTTCTCCAGCATGAACTGTGTATGCGATGACTGGTTATGTAATGTTATCAGCACCTGGTACAAAGTCCTTACAACCTTGTTTGGTGAAGGGACAATTACTTTCATTATTTGTAGCTGTGCTCTCTTGAATGGCTGTCAACCTCTCTTGTTTTAATGGTTCTTGCTGCCTCCTGATTATTGCAGGAATCTGATGTAATGCTGCTCTTTCTGCAAATTGGAGAGCAAATCTCTCAGCCTCTTGCAGTGGTTGAATACATGCCTGTGGTCGGACTGGTAGACCTGATATGGTTTAAATCTGGCCCCATATCCTGCCAAGACTACTATGTTCATTTAGAGTTTGACACCACTCAAACCATCTTGCAGTTCTCTAGAAACTCGTCTTGTTTCAGATATCTCTACTCATAGAAGAGTTCTTCCTTCTGGTGTGGGTTTCTCTTTAGATGTTTTCTGAACATGTAGACTCTGTGGTTTTATTGTTGTACTTCATTACTATTGAACCAATAGTTCTTTCGTTTTATGTTACCTGCAATAATGATTCGAATAGCTTCGTTTGCAGCATCTACAATGGTTTCCTGTAGATTAGTCTTGTGTATGTTTTAATCCTCAGGTGGCGTGTATGTTGCATACCATTCTCAAGTTCCTCTTGGTATATATTCCAGTTGGCTTTTTTTAAATTCCACCTAGGCGGTGCATGTGGTGTAAGAGGTCGTTCTATGTTTAGTGTGTGTCAGTAGCATAGTGATCACTGGTGATCTGGTCTACCTCCCACTTCGCCTGTTGTTTGAGTGCTGTTGAGATTAATGTAAGATCAAGGAAAACCCCCTTGAATAAGAGGGTTCCCCAGTGTTGAGATGTGTAATTTCAGGTACTTCATGCAGAACTGCAGCTAAATGGCTCCTATCTGCATTGGCTAGCCTAATCGCACATAACTCTTGATGATGAGCATTAAAATCCCCAGCAATAATTACATTGTCATGCGTCGCCAAGGCAAGCACTGCCTCTGCTTACTAGTTTACGTATATAGTCTTGTGGACATTGTATATGAGGAGCTCAATATTAGTCATATTCACTGTTACAGCTAATACCTCAACTCCATCCCCACATGAAACTGGGTCTATTTTCTTGCTGGGTATGCTGTTTCAGACTAGGGTCCATTAACCCTCTTTGTCTTCCCTGTTCATACGGTATAATGTATTGGAGACAACCAGTTAATCTGAAGGATTTCGTGACT